TCTTAACCCTACCTCGGGACATAGTTCAAATATAATCCTGCAGTAAGTCATTCTTAACACTAGCCAATGAAATCCATCTCTTCCCTACTGTGGCTTTAATTTTTATTGAAATATTTGGGTTTTTCTTTTTTTCAGGGTAACTAACTTATTGGTCTTCCCTAACTCCTTAGACTGGAGGCTTCAAAAGAGAAATCTTTTTCTCTACTTTATGATATGCATGAAGAATTTGTATTAATGTTTGCTAAATTAGGTTAGATAAAATTATCAATAATCCCTTAAAACTTTTTGGTTATGAGAAATAGGAAGACTCCTGCTCAGCCTTCCCACACTATAAGAATGGCATTTTCTTGGATTCTTTATTTCAGGGAGGATTCATCTCCTTTTTTTATGGATGAAGCTTTAACTTGCATGCTTAAATTGAAAGTTATTTAAAAATTAAATCAAGAATTCCATAAACATCTATTTTTCAATAAATGAGTTATTGAATTGGGTAAGTGAATTTAATTACTTAGGACTATTTCTGAACAGATTTCCATCTATTTTCCAGTAGGGCAATTTGTGCATTGTAGTCTGTAATAAGAGCTTTTGCTTCATTTCATAGCCTGCAAAATGAGACAAGACTACAGTAGAGAAAGGCTGAGTCTTTTATTCAATTCTAAATAGAGAAAGTGGGAACACTTAGATTTAGGAACCTAAAATCACAATCTAACAGCTGAAAAGATATCCAAGGAAAACAAGGGGCAATGACACAAAATAATCATGTCAGAGTAACTCTGCCATATTGGCTATCTCTAGATTTTTCCTTAGATGAGTTTCTAAAGCCATTAACATATGACAAGGAATCTGTGCTACTGCATTTTAGAGTTTCACATTGTGTTTTCGTCAAATGCCTTTGGAGTGTTTTCTCCTTTCTCACTATCTATGCCTTTGTCCTGTATCCACATGATGACTTTCCCTACTACTCTAGGCGAGGCAGTCTCTGCAGCTGAAGCGATCCTGGAAGTGGCCACCACCTGAAAGCTGTCTTCACACAGCAAACACAGCAGATGGAGGGAACATCTGGGTGGCATGTCTCTACAGTCACCACAGTCTCTGAGTCCTTAATGCCTACTTTCCGTCAAAACAGTCTCACAATAGTCATAATTGCTACAGAGCTACCCTTGGTGATAGACAAGAGGGAACAGTCTACCCTAGCATTTTATAATATTTATGCAATTCTCCAAGGGAGTTTGATATTGAAAATTACTAAGGCCAAGGTCATAGTGCTGGGGTGGGGTATAGCCAGTGGTAGTGTGCTTGCCTAGCACAGGAATGGCCTGAGTTTGTTTCCTAGCTCCACAATGACAAAGCCACAGGCTAAAGGTGAGTTTGATATTACTAAGAGTGAAAAACTCAAACCTTCATATCCTAAAATAATCAATGATATCCTCTTAAGAAGGCAGTGTCAAATAAATGTACCTATGATGAATGACAGCAGGCATAATGAGTCTATGATAGTACTAAATATATGTATATATTTCTAGCATTTCTTCATTTTTACTGAAAGACTTTTTTTTTTTTTTCAAAATTTATGTATCACTTACAATGAGCCACGCAGAGCCGGGTGCCGTGGTTCACACCTGTCATCCAGGGCACTTGGAAAGCTGAAATCCAGAGGACATGGTTCTAGGCCAACCATCTCAAAAAGTTTACAGTACTCCATTTCAACCAATACCCAGGAGTGGTGGTGTACACCTGTCATCCTAGCTACAGTAGGAAGTGTAAAATAGGAGGATTGCAGTCCAGGCCATCCTGGGCAAAAAACAAGACCTTGTTTCCAAAATAACCAGAGCAAAATGGGCAGTAGGTATAGCTCAAGTGGTAGAACACCCTTCTAGCAAGCGTGAAGCCCTGAGTTCAAACTCCAGTTCTGCCAAAATAAACAAAAACATGCCTATAACTGCCAATATCCTTATTTTATAGATAAGGAAACTGAAGTACAAAGAGTAAATAGTTTATTCAAATTCACACGACTGGAAACTGACAGAGCCAAAAATCTAACCTAAGCTCGGAGGTTCTGCTCTAACACTATACTGCTTCAGACTTCATAAAGTCCAGTTATTCATAGTTTTGAGATGACACCAATTTCTTCTGGTCTTCTCTGCCTGGGCAGTCCATTAAGCAATGTCATACTGAGAAAGACCACTACTTAGGCACAGGATGTAAACACTATTTGTTGGCTTTCAGCCTTCAGAATCAAACAATAGGGTAAACAAATGCTTGTTATAGCTGCAAAAATAGAAAACAAATAATATCAGTCCTGATAAGGTGAAAGTATACATACAGAAAATAGAAATTAGGAGGTAGAAGTGGACAGCCAAGCGTATCCTCAGAATGGGGTATCTCCTCCTCTTACAAAATGGGAAGCCAACAGTGGTAGCCTATAGTTGCTAGAACAAGACATAAAAAGTGCATGTCCCCTAAAGTTGCAAATAAAGGCTAACAGAAATACTAGAGTGACATCATTATATTGGGAAAATGGGGAGAAGGGAATAAGATGAAAATATGAACCACACCCTCAGCTGTCATAGGAGAAAAATCAATTAATATTGTTTACAATTGATGAAACTAACACTGTTGCAAATCTTTTATTATTTCTTATTAGGATATATTAATTGTACAAAGGGGTTTCATTGTGATGTTTCCATACATATGCATATAGTCTTTGATCAAAGTCATCCCCTCGGCCACTCTTTCTTATCCACCCTCTCCCCTTTTTAAACAATTTTAATGGGTTTCATTATTCTATTTTCATACATGTATATGAAGTACTCTATCATATTCACCCTGGCTCACCCTCCTATAAACCTTTCTAAAAGTCATGGAAGTCAACTCTGCAATAGACAGAGAAAAAGAAGAACTAGCCAAGGTAGAGTTATCACATGCTGAACCATTTTTAAATGAGATACAGTCATTGCTTTTAATTCATAGATTCATTACTTAAAACAAACAACAAACATGGGTGGTTCATTCTTGTAATCCTAGGTACTTGGGAGGCTGAGATAAAGAGAATTCTAGTCCCATGCCAGTCAAGGCAAAAACTCATGAGATCCCACCCCCATCTCAACCAATAGCTGGGCATAATGGCACACAACTGACATCCCAAGCTACACAGGAAGCTGAGAACCAGAGGATTGCAGTTCTAGGCCAGCCCAAGCAAAAAGGTTTGCAAGACCCTATCTCAATGGAAAAAAGCTGGACATGGTGGTGTGTGCTTGTCATCCCAGCTACTGTGGGAAGCATAAAATATGAAGATCGAAATTCAGGCTAGCCTGGACAGAAAGCAAGACCCTGGCTCCAAAATACCCAACAGCTGGGGACAAGGCCCAAGAGGTAGAGAACCTCCCTACAAGCATGAAGCCCTGAATTTGAGCCCAAGTATCACAAAAATAAATAAGTAAATAAATAAATATTTCTCCACATATTTATTTATTTATTTATTAATAAATAAATAAATATGTACACAAGCTAGCATCTAATTCCCTCTTGCTCTAAAATTCAGACTTCAGAGCCAACTGTGCAGTCACCAGTCTCAGGATGACAGGAAACTGGATAGGTCATCCTTTAGTGCAGTATGGAAATCAGTTCTGGATGTTCTCACTGTGTTCCTTAGGGAAGTGACTGTTCTTCATGCCCTGTGTCACTGCTCAGTGTGGTGGCCTGCCACTCTGAATTCCACAGTATACCACAATGCCATCTCTGCAAACATAGACCTCTTCCTGATGAGTGGCTAAAATATGCAAATAACAGACAATTATTAAGCTCTACTTGCAAGCCCTACTTAGATTTTTTTTTCAACTCGTAAATCTCTATTATTTATTTATTGGCAGTACCAGGGCTTGAACTCAGGGCCTACACCTTGAGCCACTCCAATAGTCCTTTTTCTGCGTGTATGATGGGTTTTTTCCAGAGAGGGTCTGGCAACTATTTGCTAAGGCTGGCTTTGGAACGCAATCCTCCTGATGTCCTCCTTCTGAGTAGTTGGGATGGCAGGCGTGAGCCACCAGCGCCCAACTAATTTTTATTTTTATTTTTTAAATCACCTGTTCATGTGTGTTGACTACCCAGATATAGGGCTATGAGGGCTGGTGGACTAGCTCAAGCAGTAGATTGCCTGCCTAGTAAGCCTGAGGCCCTGAGTTCAAACTTCAGGGCCACCAAAGATAAAAACAAAAACAAAACACAGATATACGAGTTATGGAACCAAAAAGTACTTAGATTATCTTTAGATGAAATGTACTTCTATTCTATTTTTCGTTCTGGACACAGTGATTTATTAGCCTGGATAAAGACACAATTACTACCATGAAAGACAGGCTTGGCTTGTGGGTTTTTTCCAAACTCTAATAAAGGTCAAGGGGAAACGGTTGTCAAAACATCCAGCTCTTCCTTGTGGAAATAAGTAAATTAACCCCATCAGACTTTTCCCTAAAATGTGAATATGACTTAAAAGCATAAAATTTCCTCTGTCCTCCAGAAATCGTGCTGAATTCAAACTGAAATGTGAGGTAAGATCAATTCTCAGCCTGCAGCCGAATTTCTGCCTTTGTTCCAGGACCTTAAAATTTGGTTCTGCATTTCCATCCCTTGTCCAGTGCTAGGCAACCGTGGACTCTCAAAGAAGCCCCTGGGCTGCGTTCACTGTTAGCGACCCAGTTAAGGGGCAGGGATTTCTCCAATTTAGGAAAACAGGTTGGCTCAAAACGGAGGGAGGAAGTAGGTGGAAGGCTGTGGTAGCCGCGGGGCAGAGCAAGGACCAGGACAGGTCTAGGACGCCAAACCCGCTCTGGACTTTGTCCCTTCCGGATCTCCGAGCCAGCGAGCGGTGGCTCTGCACTGCAACCCCAGCCAATTGCAAAAATCTTGACGAAGCCCAGCCCAGCGGAAGGAGCGGTTCAGAGTTGTTTGTTTCCCGCGATAAAGGAGCCTTCCCTGCTCTGCTTCTCACTCGGTTTGACCCCACACCCTCCCAAAGCCATTCCGAGCGACTGGCAACCGCGGACGCGGCCAAAGCTCGCAGCCACCGAAAGGATGAAATTCCTTCTGGACAGCCTCCTGCTCCTGCCCCTACTGCTCATCTGCTGGCTGGAGGCTTTGGTCAAGCTCTTTATTCCTAAGAAGAGAAAATCGGTCACCGGAGAAATCGTGCTGGTCACTGGAGCGGGACATGGCATTGGGAAACTGACTGCCTATGAATTTGCCAAACTTAAATGCAAACTCGTTCTCTGGGACATCAATAAGGTAACGGCGCTTTCTGTGTTCTCCTTTCTGGTACCTTTAACCTATGGACACGGCTACATCTCTGTAAAAAAGGTAGAAATTAATTACTCTTGCCATTTTACGAGGAGGGGGGTATGAATTAACTAATGTTTATGATCACATGTTGAATGGATCTACAGGAGGTGAAATTCTCACTTCCTACCCATTACTACATTAACATTGTATGGTCATTCTCACTTTTTCCCTGAAGATCAGGTTCTGGAGAAACCTGATTTTGCTGACCCTCTATCTTAATCCTATGCAAAAAGTGGTAGTTCTAGCTGTAGATTAACAGTAAGAGGCTTGTAACTATTAAATCCTATTTGCAGTTATTGAGATAAATGTTTTTAAAGAGTATACCCAACAGAGAGCAACGTTACTCCAGCTTTAGTTAACTGCCAAGAGTATTTTTTGGAGATTGCTTTTTAGTAAAAATAATTAAAAGAATTTTAATGTAATGTTTTTCCCTGGACAGGTGTTAAGTGTGGGCTTAGTTAGGGAAGAGAGGAGGATGTAATAATCTAACCTTTTGTTTGTCCTTTGGTAGATGAGGATTTCTGGAAGGCACCTGGGGGCCTGAAAAACCATCCAATGCATACTAGTCAACATCCAATCCTGCAAACAAGAATTCAAAGGATATGAAGTTAAATAAGAGCTAATCCAAAGACTGGTTAATTGAGACAGCAATCAATAAATACTAACTGAGTATCTGTTGCCCAGATATTAAGGTCAGGTTCTATGCTGTCAATCTAGCAGAGAAAATAGTCTATAAGTACTTACTGGGGCAGTGAAAGATACAAACTAGGCCAGGTCTGGGCAACTGGCTGAAGTCTGGTATGGTGGTGTGGTCAGACATATACGGGCTTCCCATTTCTTACCTGGGAAACTTATTCAATTTTAATTTTATTCCCTACAAAATGGATTACAGTTGTAACTACCTCAAAAGGCCAGGAAGATGGTAAGAGATAATTCATGAGATAATTTAGCATTATGTGGCATGAAGGAAACACACCACTATGTTAGCTGTTGCCACTCACTAACAAAGAGGAACTTAATTTAAAGACTCCCTGTGCTAGTGCTGATTTGTACAATGTTTTCTCTGATCTGAAGTGAAGTGCATTCATCCAACAGATATTTATTAAACAAGTACTATCTGCCAACTGAGGCCAATAGGAAAAGGGGACCAGGAACTAGTGAAAAGGTTAGATCAAAAAGAATTAACCTAGAAGGTAACACACACGCACAGGAAATCAATGTGAGTCAATGCCCTGTATAGCTATCCTTATCTCAACCAGCAAAAACCCTTGTTCCTTCCTATTATTGCTTATACTTATACTTTCTCTACAACAAAATTAGAAATAAGGGCAAAATAGTTTCTGCTGGGTATTGAGGGGGTCGGGGGGAGGGAGGGGGCAGAGTGAGTGGTAAGGGAGGTGGTGGGGGCAGGGGGGAGAAATGAACCAAGCCTTGTATGCACATATGAATAATAAAAGAAAAAAAAAAAAGTACTATCTGCCAAACAGTGCTCCAATTCAGAACTAAGGATAAAACAGCAAGGAAAACACAAGCTAAAGCAATAAAGAAGGAGCATTGTATGATAAAATATGTAACTCTTGGATGGTGTTAAGTATAAAGAAAAAAAATAAAACATGAAAGGGGGTAGGGACTGTAGGTAGTGGGAAGGGCAGTAGTGAGTATTTATCTCATAAGGGTGACCAGAGAAGTCCTTGTTAAGATGGAGACATGAGAAAGAAGTCGGGGTTGTAGCTCAGTGGTAAAACACTTGCCCAGTAGGGACAAGGCCGGGGTGTTCAATCCCCAGCACCACAAAAAGGCAGAAAAAAAAAAAGATAAGAGTTAACATCAGAAGATACTGAGAACACAGTGAGTCCTACCTGTGCTCTGTCTGTAGAGAGGGGTTAGCAAATCCAAAGCCCGGCACAGAGTGAGAGAATGAAAAGAAATAAAAGATCTAGATCTGAACTGCCCTATATAATAGTAGGGAGTGGCTCCTAGTCTCTTGGGGACCTTGAACATTTGAAATATGGCTAGGCTGAACTGAGATGTGTCATAGGTGGAAATGACTCACGTGATTTCAAAGACCCTAAAAATCAAGTCCTGTTGGAACAATGTAAAGCAAAGTGAAAGGCCATGAGAAGAGTTTGTCATGCTATGTTGAACTCATATATGGTGGAATTTTTGTGGTACAATCAATTTGTAAATAATATTTTCAATTCCTCCTTACTGTCTGTACCGGAACAATTTCTTGTTACTTAAACTGATATTTCCTTTTGTTGCATTTATTAAAATAATTTCCCATTAACTAGTATGACCTTTTGAATTTTTGCATTACTATGTTTTAGTACAAATATCCAGGGACAGATTCTACAATTGAATGCAAATAAGAGATAAATTGTTCAAAATGATTCAAAGAAAATATACCACTAAGTTAAATTTTATTTTTGTAATGTGCTACTAGAAAAAGTTTAAATTAGTATGTGGCTTGCATTATATTTCTATGAGACCATGCTGATCTAGAGGCCAAAGGGCAGGAGCTCCAGATCATACGTTTTTCTGGAAACTATTGTATATAACCTTGGTTTTTACTCGGGGAAGGCAGTGGGAGGAAGGTTGGGTCAATTCCTATTGAAGAAGTGCTGCTGACCATCTGTTTGAGAGCAGAATGAGGAGAAGAGAAGGGAGGAGCAAACAAAGTAGGAAAACAGTTAAGACCCTGTTATGATAATCCAAGTAAGAGGTAATATGATGGTGACTTGTAAGACCAGGTTGGTAGTAGCAGAGGTTCTGATAAGTGGTCGAAAATATTAGACAATGTAGTGAGCTTTTTAATTAGGTGAAAATAATCTAATTTAAACAATCCATCTTGTACTTTGAGAATATGTCCTCACTTGAGTTATTTTCTGCTTTTGGTGTGATGTGCTTATGTCATTTACTTTGTTCTCTTGATTTCTTTGTTGCTTTTTTCTAGCATGGCATCGAGGAAACAGCTGCTGAATGCAGGAAACTGGGTGCCCAAGCTCACGCCTTTGTAGTAGACTGCAGTAACCGAGAAGAGGTGTACAGTTCTGCAAAGAAGGTGAAGTTGTATATTAGAATTACATTACATTACTGTGAGGAGATACTTTGGAGATGATCAAGTCTGCTCATGATCAAGAATAACTGAAAAATACTGGCTAGGTATCAAGGCTAGGTAACTGGCAAGTGGCAGATCCAGAATTAGAATCTAGAACTAAGATTGTCAGATGTTAGTGTGTTCCAGAGCCTTCCAGGGAGCTTTTAAAAACTACACACTCTTGGAAGCCACCCACAGAAGTTTCCTTTCAGTAGATGTAGCATAGAGCCCAGGGGTATACGTGGTCAGCCCCACGTGGCCTCACCTCATTCAATATCCTTGGATGACACCTGCAAAATCCCTGACAGAGTCTTCTGAAGTACAAAGCATTGGGTAAGAAAGTTAGCATAGACCTATTCTTCATCAGTTTTTATCACAGGTAAATCTATTCCTATAAAGCATCACTTGCCTCTTCTATGTACAACTGAAACGTGTTTTATATAACGGTGTTTCCTTCTGCATTCACACTTGCACCTGTTAACTAAATACCTTAATGGAGGGAAGGTTATCAGAATTACGTGGGCAAATTTTTTAAAATACACATTCCTGGGCCTCACCTCCTGCACATTCTGATTCAATAGTGATGAATATTCTGATTCAACCAGACTTGAGAATGTCTTCTTTTAAGGAATTTTAGATTTGAGTCTCTCTTAATTTTTTTTACATTTTAGTCTTTTTATTTCCAACTGATACCTCCTCGTTTTTGGTAAGGCCTGAGAAAGGTCAAAAGAATAAGTAGAAGTTACCTAGAACATGAGTGGGAAATAGCTTTCCTAAGAGGGGGTACAGTTAAAAGCAAGACCTATAGCCAAGAAACATCTGCATTTAACTATTTTACTTAAATTAACAATGATTATCTTCCATAGAGATGAGCATATTGCTGTGTAAGACAATGGACTTGAAGCTAGGCATGGTGGTATACACATGTAATTCCAGCTACTCAGGAGGTGGAGGTAGAGACAGGACAGACATGAGTTCAAGGCCAGCTGGAGAAAGTTAGTGAGACCCTATCTCAAAAACAAAATAAAAACAAAAGGTCTGGGGACTTAAGTCAAGTGGTAGTGCACTTGCCTACATGCTTGAGGTCCTGGGTTCAATCCCCAGTACTGCAAAAAAAAGAAAAAGAAAAAAGATAACAGTCTGTTGCCAAGTTCAAATTCTGCTTTTCCAGTTAGTACTAGCTATATTACTTGGGCAAGTTCCTTGTCTAAGTTTACTCCACTATGAAATAAAGATTTCAGCAGTGCGTACTTCACAGGGATATTAATGAGGATTAAATGAATTAATTATGTACACTACTTAGAATACTTACATTACCTGGCCTTCTAAGTACCTCGCATTATTAGTATAATAGAACTACAAATATTATCTATTTAATTTTGTTATTTAAGCATCTACAAGCCCAGCATTCTCAGTTACCTAATTGGAAAACATTTGCTTCTATATTCATCTGGGAGTAGACTATTTTAGAAAAGATCATTTTATTTTTTTAACTTATTCCATATATTTTAACTATAGATTTCTGGAGGAGGGGAGTTGTTTTGATTTGATTTTGGCAGTACAGGAATTCAAATTCAGGGCCTCACACTTGATAACCAGGTGCTCTGCAGTTGAACCACAGCCCTAGCCTAAAGATAATGTTTTTAATGAAATTATTCTCAGGGCATATGCTTAAATAAAGTGTACACAGGACATGTGATCAGATATTTTTGATATGGTGATTTTGGTATCAGGACTTTTTATGCCACCTAAACAATTAAACTATCAACCTGCTCTCTTTATTAAGGAATATGCAAAGCAAATATTCCCACCCCAGGAAGATATAGTTAATGATGAGGAAACAGTCAAAACTAGCTGGGAAAATTCTTCGGTAATCTGAAAGAGCAGTTTATTTTTTAAGAGTCATATTAATTCTGAAACATACAGTTTTATCAGGTCAACCACACCGAATGTTCTACTTTTCTGGATAATTTTGTGGCGTTATTCTGAACAATTTTCATATTTGCTACAGATATAGGTATAGGTACAAATGGTATCAATCAAAGGCCAAATAGCTTTACACTTTGCGAATTCAAATATAACCAAGTGAGATGCAATCCTGGCTGATGAGAGAGATTTCACCATGGCACACTGAAGTCCTACTGGGGCACTGGTTGACTTTTGCCCCCTGACTGCCTTTCTGTTTGAGGTCCTTTGTTATGGGCTTTGAGGTCAAGTAGCTCTACTCTCCAGTAGCCATGTTGTTTCATATTTTGTCATGTCTAAAGTGGATGTACAAGATTGACGGCTTGTCAAATTGTTGTGAAAATTAAATGCAATAAATAATGAAATCGTGTTAAATGCATAACAAAATGAAAACTTCTAATAGGCTGTCACCTTTTCCTCAGTCCTCCAACATACCATAGCACTGTCTCTGAATAATCACAACTCGATTATGTGTAACAAAATGTATTATGACTGTATCATCTATTGAACCAATAAACTTAATTACTCAACAAATGTAAGAATGCCTTTAATCCTAGCTACTGGCAGATGGAGATCAGGAGAATCACAGTTCAAGGCAACCCAGCCAAAAAAGTTCACAAGACCCCATCTCTACCAATGGCTGGGCACAGTGGTATGCATCTGACATCCCAGCTACATGGGGAAGCACAAATAGAAGGATCATAGACCAGGCTACCAGGGGCATAAAGTGAGACCAGATCTAAAAAATAATCAGTGCAAAATGGGCTGGCAGAGTTGTGCCAGTGGTAGAGAATCTGCCTAGAAAGTGTGAAGCCCTAAGTTCAACCCCTAGTACTGCCAAAATAAATGTCATATAAGATATCCTTGCATTGCTAGCCAGTAGAATTGTGGCACTCCGATCTTATACAAAGTAAAGTTTAAGCAGTAAGAGTCTATGAGCTTTCTTATTTGACGTTACTGTTGCTGAATACGTTAGAGTCCCTCTTGTGGACAAATAGTCTTCACTGGATGCCTTCTGTTGCTCCTGGCAGCCAACCCTATTCTCTTGCTTATAGTTCCTCTACTGAAATAATTTCACCTGTGATAGTTGCAATGACCTTTGAAATTCAGCCTGTAAGGCTTACATATGTCCTTCTCCTTGATAACTTTAATTTCTTAAATGTGCTTCTTTCTGAATTAATACCAAAGTAAGGATTTGGTTATCAAGAGAAAGCATACATTGATACCATACATATATGTTAGAAAAACACACATACATAGTTTTTATGCTATGTACCTCAGATTTATGTTCCCATACCAGGTACCCTCATGGACACTGCAGAAGGTCAAGAAAAGTACTTTCAAACATGTTCCTTGTACACAGGTGTAAATGGTGGTAATAATGATACACAACAGTGCTGAAGGAATAGTTCAAGTGGTAGAGCACTTACCTAGCAAGCACCAGGCCCAGGTTCCATCCCAGTACTACAAATAATAATAATGCCATGTAATAATAATTATAGTCATAGCCATATGACTTTATATGTACCTTTACATACATGATTCATTTGTTCCCACAGTAACTCACAAGCAAGCTGTATTACTACATCTATTTTAAGAGAAGCAATTGAAGTTTTGGGAAGTTCAAAAAAAGGCTGGCAGAATGGTTCAAGTGGTAAGAGTGCTTAGCAAGTGTGAGGCCCTGAGTTCAAACCCCAGTGCCTCCCCAAAATTAATTAATTAATTAAAAACTTAGTCAAGTCCAGATAGTGACAGAGCCAGAATTCAAAGCTAACCAAAGATAAGCACTCCACATCCCTAGGCTGCCTGCAACATAATGGCAAATGATTGGTGAGCAACAGAACGAAGTGACCAAGAAAATAAATAGAAGATGTGGCCAGCCTACTAGTGTGGTCAGTGTTGCATAATTTCCAGAATAGTCTTTGAACATGTCAATAAATTTGTTTTGTTTTGTTTTTTCACTTATCCTTTGAAGTAGTATTTAAAAAATAAGTGCTGTTTGGGCAAATGCCTCTTGAGCCATAATCCATAGAGCAAAGTAGTGAGACTAACTTGCAAAAGAAAGTTTCTAACTAATAGAGTGGTTGCCGGAGCTGCTTTGGACATAGGTACCTAAAGTAAAAAGGGTTTTTGTTTTTTCCATGTTGGCTCACAGATGACTATAGTCACTGGTAGTCATGATCATAGTCACTGCATGCAAACCTACATTCATGGCTCTTGCTGAATGTTTTTCTTATTTTATTTTGAAAGGTGAAGGCAGATGTTGGAGATGTTAGTATCTTGGTAAACAATGCTGGTGTAGTCTACACATCCGATTTGTTTGCTACACAAGACCCTCAGATTCAAAAGACTTTTGAAGTCAATATACTTGCACATTTTTGGGTGAGTATTTTTTCTTATATATTTTTATTCTCTTTTGAAAACCCAAAAATTAAGTTTAAAATGGAGCTTTCTCTGACATATGAAAGTATTAAATCAATCCTAAAGTTTTCTGTAGGTATCAGGGATAACATTATATAAGAGTTCATTTTTCATGCTAGGACCAAATTCTACCAATCTTCACCCCCTCAAATTAATACAAATAATAAATTGAAAAATTATAAACTTTAGGTGTTGTGTATGTTTTTATTCAAACCTAGGTTTCACATCTCTGTGTGATCGTTTAGAGGTAGAGAAAAGAAATAGAGATCACCTGAGTTATTTTCTGTGATTCCATAAAGGTGAATTCAGTTTGCTCTCAGATTCTCATAAGACTTAAGCCTCAGGTTATTTCCTTGCCTAAAAATTTCACTTTATTATGAACCTCACCATTCATCCTAAATTATATATGTATAGGTGTGTATATGTGTATTGTGTGTGTATACATATACAAATACATAGCATGTATTTCTAAAGTCTGCAAATAGTTCCCAAATAACCATTTCATAAAGGGTCCCTCAAAGCTTTCTTGTGTGTGAGTTTGGGGTGATTAATATCAAAAGAATATTTGGGTTGGTGAAAATGCAGTATTATTTGATATTATTGTTCCCAAGTACTGATGTATTTTTATGTTTGTTAAGACATAGGTAGGATATAAGCTGATTTATTTATGTCACCAGCCCCAGCACATGGTGTGTACTCAGTAAATGTTTGGTACATGAATCACGTAGTGACCACTAGAAGACTGCTCTTCACTTCGGTATTCCCGTGGTATAACCAAACTCTTTGCTAACAATTTTACATTAAACGTAAATTCTTTTGGCAACTCTGTTTTCCCCCATTCAATGCACAAGATGGTAGAAGACATCAATGGCAAGAGGTGGGGATTAGGGGATAGAAGAAGTCAGCAATTTAAAAGAGATAGAATCTCAAACCTCAGTCTCTGATTTTACTTAGTTTTTCTAACATGGGCATCCTATCCAGTTGCCTTATACTGCACTGGGCAATTTAGGTTTTTTCATTCATACTAGGAACAATGTTTTAAATATATACCTTTTTTTCATTCAGAATATTCCCAATGGGTCTGCAGATCATAAATACTTTATTTTTTCTCTTTTAATAAAAACTATTTCTAGACTACAAAGGCATTTCTCCCAGTGATGATGAAGAATAACCACGGCCATATTGTCACTGTGGCTTCGGCAGCTGGGCATATCACAGTTCCCTTCTTGCTGGCTTATTGGTATGTGTTTCCTTTATTGGTTCCTATGCCAAACTTGTGTGGAATGTCTTTCCCTGTCTAGTGAGAGCTACCTTTGCCATAACACACTTGAATTTGCTGAACTATAAAGAGATGTCTCTAGTATTAAATTTTCAACTCTTAATCCCCTTCTACATTTCAGTGAGAAAAATACAGCTCTAGAGGTGGCTGCAGAGAATTGATCTACTTAGAGGTCAACCACTTAAAGCATTTCTCATTCCTTTTACCACAAGGAATTATAAAACAAGAACAGTATTTTGTACCATGAAAAAATTAATATCAATAATTTTAATAATATAAAATGGGTAAATTTTACAGAAACAAACAAAACACTGTATGAAGAGAGAAGATGAGAAAGAATGTGTATCTGGGACTCTAAACATTAAAAAAATACCCAAACAGAGGAATTTCTTTTTTTTAAAAAAAATTAATGGCTGCCCATTCTAAAAACTATGCCATTGTAATAACTGAAAAATTTGCCATAGCAAGTAGGTCACAGTAATGGTGTGCTCCACTGAGCTATAAAGAATTGATCTGTGGCCAAATGTATGCTACATGCCTGTAATCTGGCTTCTCAGGAAGTGGAGACAGCAAGTTTTTGAGTTCAAGGACAGCCTAGGCAAAGTTAGTGAAACCTTGTTTCAGAAAACAAAACCAGGTATGGTGACAAGGCATGGTGGTGGTTTCATCTACTCATAAAGCAGACATAGCAAGACCCTATCTGAAAAACAAGGTAAAAGCAAAAGGGCTGGGGCATGGCTAAGTGGTGGAGCTCCTGCCTAGCAAGCGCGAGGCCCTGAGTTCAAACCTCAGTTCCACCATCAAAAAAGGCTCTCAAATGTCAAATTGTGATTGTGTGAACATGTACGTGTATGCATGTTCTATACATTCTACAATGCTGCAGTTTGTTTCTTCCATTGTGCTCTTTCAAAATTAACTGTCTACAAAAATCATATGCTCTCCCTCATATGCGGACTTTAGATCTAGGGCAAATGCAGCAATGTGGTTGGACTTGGGTCACATGACAAGGAGAGAGCACATACAGGAGGAATAGGGATAAGTAGAAAACCCAAAATTTGAAAGTGATG